AAATGGACTTGGTGGATGTATACAGACTGATCCACCAAACAACATCAGATATACATTCTTCTCAGCAGTACATGGAATAGTCTCTAAAACAGACCATATACTAGCCCACAGAACACACTTAAGTAAATGCAAAAGAATTGAAATTATCCCATGCATGTTATCAGATCATAGCACCATGAAACTAGAAATTAATGACAAAAAAACCTGCAAAAACCCCACAAACACATGGAAATTGAATAATATACTCCTGAGCAATCAGTGGGTCACAGAGAAAATTAAACAATATCTACAAGCAATATCTACAAGAAAATACAAATACATCTTACCAGAACCTGAGGGACGCAATGAAAGCAGTCCTCAGAGGAAAATTCATTGCAGTGAATTCCCACATCAGGAAAACAGAACAAACACAAATTAACAACCTGATGCTACACCTCAAACATCTAGAAAAAGAAGAGTAAGTCAAGCAAGTTGACTTAAAAAAGCCAAAAGAAGAGAGGAAATTATAAAGGTCAGAGCAAAAAATCAATTCAATAGAGACTAAGAAAGCAATACAAAGAATCAGTGACTCAAAAAGTTGGTTCTTTGAAACAATAAATAAAATTGACAGGCCTCTAACCAATCTTATTTAAAAAAGGAAAGGAAAAACTCAAATTCATACAATAAAAAATGAAAAGGGTGAAATCACTACAGACCTTGTAGAAATACAAAAGATAATCAATACCTATTTCGAAAACCTCTACTCTCATAGGCTTGATAATGCAGAGGAAATGGACAGATTCCTAGCAACATATGAACTACCAAAGCTGGGTCAAGAAGATGTAAAACTGCTGAATAACCCAATTGCAATTAATGAAATTGAAAATGCAATTAAATCCTTACTAACAAAGAAGAGCCCAGGCTCAGATGGATTCACTGTGGAATTCTACAGGAAATTCAAAGATTTAATACCTATACTCCTCAAACTCTTTAATGAAACTGAAAGGGAAGCAATTCTCCCTAACTCATTCCTGGAAACAAATATTACTCTAATATCAAAACCTAAGAAAGACCAAACCAAAAAAGAGAACTACAGGCCAATCTCTCTAATGAACATAGATGCAAAAATTCTCAATAAAATATTGACAAACAGAATGCAGCAAATCATCAAGAAGCCATGACCAAGTGGAATTCATCCCAGGAATGCAGGGATGGTTCAACATATGCAAATAAATAAATGTAATCCACCATATCAACAGAGCCAAAAATAGGGACCACATGATCATTTCTATAGATGCAGAAAAACTTTTGATAAGGTCCAACATTCATTCATGATAAGAACCTTACAGAAAATTGGAATAAATGGTCTTCACCTCAATATGATAAAGGCCATCTTATGACAAACCAATAGCTAGCATCATATTAAACTGCCAAAAACTGAAATCCTTTATCCTAAAATCAGGAACAAGCCAAGGATGTCCCTTATCACCACTCCTATTCAATACAGTGCTGCCAATTCTAGTCAGAGCAATTAGACAAGAGAGAGAAATAAAAAGAGTAAGGATAGGAAAAAAAGAAGTTAAATTATCATTATTTGCAGATGGCATAATACTCTACATAGAAGACGAACAAAACTGCAATGAAAGACTCCTAGGTATAATAAAATAAATTCAGTAATATAGCTGGATACAAAGCCAACACTCAAAAATCAATAGCATTCCTATACACTAACAACAAAATCACTGAGAGGGAAATAAGAGAAGCCACACTCATCATAATAGCATCCAAAAAAATGAAATAGGAATTAATCTAACAAAAGAAGTAAAAGATCTATTCGGGGAAAATTATAATACCCTGAAAAAGAATTGAAGGCCTCAGAAAATGTAAAGACATCCCTTGTTCACAGATAGGAAAAACAAATATTGTGAACATGGCCATTCTCCCAAAATTGTTATACAGATTCAATGCAATCCCAATCAAAATACCACTAGCATACCTCATAGATCTAGAGAAATCACTCCTAAAATTCATCTGGAACCAGGAGAGACTTACAATAGTAAAGGCAATTCTAAGCAACAAAGGCAAGGCAGGAGGCATCACATCCCTGACTTGAAGTTATACTACCAAAGCTACTATAATAAAATCAGCATGGTGCTGGAATAAAAACAGACCTGAAGATCAATGGAATGGACTAACAGATACAACCACAACTACAAACACACTCAGCCACCTCACCTTATCTTTGCTAAAAGGGCCAAACATGTCCACTGGAAGAAAGATAGTCTCTAACAAATGATGCTGGAAAACTTGGCTCTCCATATGCCGAAAACTAGACCCATGCTGATCATCATGTACTACACTAAAGTCTAAATGGATCAAAGATCTAAATACGAAAACAGAAACACTAAATCTGTTGGGAGACAAAGTAGGTAGAAATCTTGAAGACATAGGGGTAGGTAGAGAATTCATGAACAAGAATCAAACTGCACAAGAAATACTTCACAGAATCAATAACTAGGATCATGTCCTATTAAAGAGTTTTTGCACATCGAAAGAAATCTCCAGCACAGTGAAAAGAAAGCCTACATACTGGGGAAAAATCTTAGTGAACTATCCCTCAGACAAAAGACTTCTGTTTAGAACATAAAAAGACTTTTAAAAAATCAGATCTCCAAAATTCAAAGACCCCTTCCAAAAATGGGCATCTGAGATGAATACATAGTTCTCAGATGAAGAAATACAAATGGCACATAAATATATGAAAAATGTTCACTGGTCATTAGAAAAATGCAAATTAAAACAACACTGAGATTCCATCTCATTCCAGAAAGAATGGCCAGGATAAAGAAAACTACCAACAACAAATGCTGGAGAGGCTGCATGGAAAAAGGAACTCTCCTGACTGTTGGTGGGAGTGCAGACTGGTGCAATCACTGTGGAGATCAGTCTGGAGGTTCCTCAAAAAGCTGGGATTGGAAGCCCCATTTGACCCAGCTATTCCACTTCTGGGCATATTCCCAGAAGAATGTGCACCCATATTTATAGCAGCACAATTTGTAATAGCCAGATCTTGGAAAAAACCTAAATGCCCATCAACTGAGGAATGAATTAAAAAGATGTGATATTTTTCTACAATGGAATACTACTCAGCTATTAAGAATGATCACATTGAGATATTTATAAGTAAATGGATGCAACTCGAGACCACAATCATAAGTGAAATAAATCAAACTCACATGTATAAATACTTTATAGTCTCTCCCTATTGCAAGGAATTGCAAGAGTACAAAAAACTGAATAAATACAGTGAAAGGATAAGAATCTCCTTACAGAGGAAAAAATAGTATCTCAGCGAAAATGAGGAAAAATAAAAATAAAAGGAAAGGAAAATAAAAAATATCTAAAATTATATAAACACACTTAGGATAGTTAAGATGATTGTGCTACAAATTCTGTAAGTTCTTGGAACAAAATAGTTAACCTTTATAGGATTCGAACAATTGTGCATATTATTGTACGGTGATCTGAGGAATTTTTGAAGATCATTATGGAAAACAACCACCTCAGTTATGCTCCTACCACCTTGTTTTGAAGGCCTATATTGTCAGTGTTACTGGCTCTTTGCTATTGTTGTTTATGTATCTTCTTTGTTTCGTGTTTTTCTAGGAATTTGTTTTATATTGTTTTGTTTCAGAAAGGATAGGTATACATGTAGAGACTTATACATGCACAGAACTTCTCCTAAACAGTTTATGAGAATCAATTATACAATGCATGATGAAATGAACACCTACTTTGAAGAAAAGGAGACACCAAAGTATCCAGTGCTGATTCCACAGTGTCATGCTGTGAGATCCAGAAATACTATATTATCCTTTGTTCAGAGTGATTTTAGTCTGTTTTAATTTCAACATACATGAGTATGGATAGCTATTTTGAAGAGACTGAGCGACATTATGGCACCCACTGTTGACTTCCCTATTATCTGGTCTTAAAGACCTTCATCATCCTGTTCTGAGCAGTCTAATACTATTTTGTTTTGCATGAATTCACTGTGTGTGAAGGTATGGACAACTATTTAGAAGAATATAAGAGACAATATGATAGACAGTGAAGAGCTCCTGTCTTGCTTTTAAAGCTGCATCTCTTATATTGTTTTCTTCTGATCTGTTTTGTTCTGTTTTGTTATGTTTAATTTTACCCTCTTTAAAATAAAATTTTTAAAAAAGTTATTTTGTGTAATTGTTTTCTCATATATGTAAGAGCTTCACAAAAAACTAGGTCATATTTTCAATCTTTCACAGTAAAAAAATTTATTCTTCTACAAGTTTTTTAAAACAATCAAAAAAATGTGTTTCTCATTGCTTTTTATAATGCCATAGTGACTTACAAAGGAAACAAATATATCGAGATCATCTGAGAAATTCTTTCCAGCCTCAAAATTCTTTCCCTCACTCACTCCCATCCTGGGACTCAGAGTACAGCAGTCCCATGCTATTGAGAAATGTTTTCAGATGACACACTGTTACTAATGAGAAGTGTCATCATGTTGCTTTCTCAGATCTGGAGAGTTAAAACAAAGTGAGACACTTTATTGTCCCAAACTGTTTATGTGCAAGGATAACTTCGTATGCAAAATTGTCTTTTTAAGTAAAAATAAACCATTTTAACCTAAAACATTCTATAATTAATTAATAAATATTAACAATATAATAAAGATATAACTTATACATGTTGAAATAATTACCATTCACTTTATGTTTCAAATTTCATGGCAAAAATATTGACAAACTTTTACATTTATTTATAGATTTATAAAAGACAGCTGCAAACAGTAAGAAAAATGAAGCAGACTACCCAAGAGCCTCTTTTCCTTATAGAACCTTCCTTTTAAGCATGCATAATTAATGTAATCTACATTCCCTGAAGCATCAAAAGAAACCAACACCAAGGCAGGGAAAAACAAAGCTATTTTGAGCAACCCATAACCAAGCTGCTAAAACAAAATATATAAGACCCACAGTGGCACTGGAGTCATTAAGAAGGTCCTGTCCTCTTGTTTCATTTTCAGCGTGAACTTTGTGGTAATGCTCCGACAAATCAATAGCAGTTATACATCTTTTCATACATAAGGGGCAGATGAAACCCTGTGAAATAACAACTTTTAGAAGGATATACAAAATATAGACAATGCCAACAGACAAAACAAGAGCAAAATTAATATACTGGCTGTTAGTAAATGCAAATGAAACTTTCAACTAGGAACTGTACAAAGGGTAAAAGACCTATCCAAAGGCAGACTTCTAAAACTAGCTCCTATCCTGATAATATAAATTTGTACTGATTTGACTTTTTAAATTGCCTTGTTGCATTGCTAGGAATATTGTTTTGCTTAAAATACAGGGGTTTTTGCTTTTGTTTTTGTTTTGTAATGCAGGTTTGCCTTGGGCTCATTAGGTGGCCTCAAACTTGCAATGATTCTCCTGCCTCAGCCTCCCAAGTGCTTTAGACATGAAAAAATTTTGTTTATAACATTTTGTCCTTACTTATCTAAGACCCATAATTGCCAGTTGGTTTTTATTTTAGAAACTGCTTGGAGGGACAATAAATACCTTTTTGTGATACAGTGTTCTCAACAAGGAAATTACTTTAATGAAATCAACTTTTAATATGTATGTATTCTGTTAGCCTAAGGACTCATTCTAGCCTATATTCACAATTTCCTGCAGATGATCTTCCCTTTCACTTTTCTGAACCAAGCAAACCAGATGAAAACACTCTCTCAAATTCTCTACACCTACCAATATCTGTATTCTAAAATATGAACTTTTACACTGATCAATAGCTTGAAGTTTTGGCACTTAAGAATAACACAAAGGGGCCGGGGGTTTAGCTCAGTGGCACAAGTGCCTGCCTGGCAAGCGCACAACTGTGACAAAAAAAAAAAGGATAACAAAAAAATGAAAGAATAAGGAAATAGAGAAAGCAAATGAAATTAAGAGGTAAAGACAAAAGGTTATAATAGGTTATAAAGACAAAAGGCCAAAATATCATGCATTGTAGTGTCATAAGGAGACGTCAAACTAGGCTTCAAAAAACTAATTATATATGACCTTCCAGAAATAATTTTGTTAAGTGTCACGTTCCACATCTCTAAAATGGGGCCAATTTCTTCTAGAGGTTTGTGGGCACAAAATGCTTAATATTGTGCCTGAAACTTTGTAAGTACTCAATAAATATTAATCTTCAGGAGATGCATGCTTAGAAGTTAAAGGAAATGAAATTTTTAAAAAATGATTTAGAAACTAGAAGAAAATATAGCAATGAAAAGGCTATATTGGTCAGGAAGGCTAAAGAGAAATTAAGTAGAAAGACTATGACAAGAAAGATCCTGAAAAAGACAGACAATTGTGGTAAAGAACGGGGAGACAGAGCTTTACCGTTTCAGTTAAGACCATTCTGCCTGACGATAAAGTAGATGGTACTGCCATGAAATTGAATACTGTAGTTAAAAAGGTAATAATGATCCTTAACAATGGAAACTCAAGGAACTGAGGGGTTAAACCAGTGACAGTGAACCTTTTAGAGACTGAGGTCCCAAACTGCAATCCAAAACCCACCTATGTATCACAACGTGCCAACAGTGCAATCAAACCTGAACCCTGAGGTTCTGGTTTAGAAAAAAAACACTGTTATCCAATGTTCGGCTGCTGGGGTGACTTGGCTCACGTGCCGCGGCCGGCAGCACTCAGGCCTCAGGTTCACCATCACTGGGCAGGGCTATTCCTGTCACCAAAGTCACTCAGGGTTACGGGAAGGAAGCAGAACAAGACTACTACCAAGGTTGCAAAGTGGGAGGCAAGGCAGGTAGCAATTAAGAGCTTGGCTTAAGCTCCAATCAGATTCATGCCACTCCTGACAGAATTGTGACCTTAACTTTCTCATCTGTTTCGGGGAATAACAATAACACCTACTTCTTACAGATCTCATGACAATTAAAAGAGATAATACATGTAAAATGCTTATCATGTATCCCATACAATGAAAATATTCAATAAATGTTATCATTATTATCATTATTCCTTTTGTTAATAACCCTTAAAAGATCATTCAGTAATGAAAGTCAGGAACATAAACTCATTTTTTTTAAACTGATGAGAGTTGTCCCAGATAAACCATAATCTCAAGGTTGAACTTGAACTATGAATAATACTTCTTTAGAAGATTATGTTTGGTTGTTTGGTTGGTTGGCTGGGGGTTTTGTCTTTTTTATGCAGTTCAGGCTGGTCTTGAATTCACTTCATAACCCAGGCTGGTCTTGAACTTGCAAGGATCCTCCTGCCTCAGCCTCCCAAGTGCTGAGATATAGGCCTGCGCCACCACGTCCAGCTGTGTTTTCTTTTTGTCACCACAGCTTTATGGTATATTTCGTCTTACTCCTTTGTCCACTGCACGCTTCCACACCCAGTCATGCAATCTGATTCAGAAAGTATTTAGCATGATTACTCTACTCTAGCTGCAATGCTATAGTGCTGAGAATACAATGGAAAATGAGACAAACTCCCCACTCTCAGAAGCCTACAGGCTTTTTGAGAAAGTCACTAATATTTTTTTAAATTACATTTTATATCCCACTAATCAGAAAATCCTATTAGATCTACATTCAAAATACATACATAATCTCAGCACCTGTACTCTCACCATTCTAATCCAAACTTGCATTACTTGTAAGAGGATCACTGCAATAGCCTCCTAACCATGTCTCTGCTTCTACTCTGAACCTTCTTACAACCTACCTTCAACGCAGCCTCGAGTGTTCCCAACAAAACACATGGACCAGCCTTGTCATTTCCCTACTCAAACTGTCCACTGGCTTGCTACCTCACTAGGAGTGAAAACTAAGGTCTGTGTAATAGTCTGCATGGCCCCTCAGGAATGGGCCTACCTTCCTCACTGAGCCAGTCTCCCCACTCCCCAGGCCGGAGCTATGCCGGCCTCCTGGCTGCTTTCAACCCACAGAGCCACTCCTGCCCCAGAGGCTTCCCACTTACTACACTTCTGGAACATCAAGCGCCCAAAAAACCCACATGACTCGCCTCCTTGAGTTCTCTCTGAGCTGTTCACCTCTCAGAGATGTCTTCACTGATGACGACATAATTGGAGCCACCCCAACACTTCCCATGCCTCCTTTCTGCTTTTTCTCTTAATACTAATTGTCAACCCTGGAATATTTTTAGTATGTTTTGGCTTTTGCCTGTTTCCACTCCTTGAATGCAACATCCACCAGAATGAAGATTTGGTTTTTTAGATCACTTTACTTTATTTTATGCTGTATCTCCAGCATCCAGAATATCAGCTGACATCCAGCAAATGAATGAATCTCAATCATTACCAAAAAGAGAACAGATACAAATTTCACACCAGCAGAAGGAATTAAGAAGGACATTTACTGGAAAAAGCATTATCTGCAATAAGCCCTAAAGGGGAGGCTGGGGATTTAGCTCAGAGGCATAAGCACCTGTCTTGCAAGCAGTCGGTCCTGGGTTCGATCCCTGGTACCGATAAAAAAACAAAAACAAAAAGCCCTAAAGCATATCAGATGTAAGCCAGGACAAAAAATACTGAGAGCAAGAGCAATGCTACAGTCTGGGTATTTGTGCTCCCAACACACACACAAACATGCAGAGACACACATGCACACATGCAAATCCCCACACTCAAATCTTAACCCTCAAAGCAATGGAACTAGGATGCAAATCCCCACACTCAAATCTTAACCCTCAAAGCAATGGAACTAGGAGGTGTGGCCTCTGGGGAGAGAAGGGGGTCATGGAGGCAAAGTCCTCATGGATAGGATCAGTTTCTCTTTAAAACAGGCCCAAAGCAGCTCTCTCATCTTTCTATCTGTGAAAATCTGAGACAGCACACCTGCTGTTTCCTTGATTTTAGACTTCCTATCACCAGAACTTCAAGAAATAGGTATTTGTTGTCTTCAACAGTCCAAATTAAGATAAATAGGTAAAGAATAAAGATGAGCTTATGCAAAACCCTAAAGGTAAGAGAAAACTTGGCACACTGTAAAAGCAGAGGAAATTCAATATGCTTGAGGATGACAGAGAAAATAAAAAATTATAATGTTCTGGAAATGTAGCTAGCTCAGTAGTAGAGTACCTGCCTAGAGTTAGAGAGACCCTCCCTGGTTTAATCTCTAGCACTACAATAAGCAAACCAATCAATCAATTAAGCTCTAAAAGTAGAAATCAAATCACAAAAAATAATTAACTTTTTAGGTAACACAGTTATAGAATTTGGACCTTAATCTAAAAAAAATTGGAGGACGGTCAGATGTGATGGCACTTTCCTGTAATCCCAGCTACAGAGGCTGAGGCAGAGGATCTCTGTGTGAGTTCCAGGCCAGCCTGAACTACACAGGGAGACCCTGTCTCAAAAAAACATACAACAGGGGGAGCGGAGGTGGAAGATAGGCTTTGTGGTATCAGCACGGTGAGATAGATGGTCCCTGTTCCAGTATGAGCATATGACTGGATTATTTAAATAATTCTTTGAACTAACAGGGACCTAAAACCACTACTCACGGATAAACAGCGACTTTGTCTGGACCCTGCAAATGAGAGTTGTTTAAAGGGTCTTACCAGTTAGAGCAGAGTTTGCTCTAGAGCGGGTTTGGCCATTTAATACCCTCCTTCAGGTTTCACCAGACATCAAGGAACACTATGTGACCTTGGCTTTAGGTATGATATTGAGTAGAATTGTCTAGACTTGGATGTTTCTTTTCAAAGGCTTTTACCACTGAAAATAAAGATACCTACACATTTCTCTCAGTTAGCTTAAGGATGTTTTAGTCCAAAGCTCCTAAAAAATACTTTAGTTTTATGTATGTTAAAACATCAAGAGTAAACAAGGGATGGTGGTGCACACCTATAATCCCAACAACACAGGAAGCTGAGGCAGGAGGATCACCATGAGTTTGAGGCCAGCTTGTGCTACATAGTCAGTTGAAGCCCAAACTATACAGCAAAAAAAAAAAAAAAAAAAGCCCAAAAGGAAACACAAAAAAAGAAGAGTAAAATGTATGATCTCCAAATCAGCATAAGACTCCACAAGCAACCCAGCAGTGTACTCTACTGCCTGCAGGTTAATTACCAAGGGAACTAGCAAAAGGAGAAAAATGAACAATGAAAAAGGCAGAACCAAAGCAGAAGACTATAGAATCACAGAAACACAAAGTGGTACAGTAAGAAAAAGAAGCCCAAACCAATGCAAAAAGAGAGAAGGAGAGAGGGAGGGGAGTTAACCTGCTGTTTTTTTTTTTTTTTAAGCCAAACAAAAGGAACAAAAACACTGAAAATGAAAACAAAGAAAAAGGTACACAAAATGCTAATCAAAAGAAAGGTAGTGTCATTACATTATTATTGGACACAATGACAAGAAGTTCAGTTCACCAAAAAGACATAAACGATCCCAGGAGACAGAAACCAGGGACTATAAATCATGTATGAGAGAAATTTAGCTTGGAAGCAAAGCAAACAATACATCATACCCACAGAGAAGAAATATTTTATTTTTTCCATTTATTTTATTCTTCTGTTTATATATCTACACACAGCATATTTGTATGTTGATGGAAATAATTCACAATCAAGTTAAAACTAAATTGGCAAGAAACAGACAATAATTAAGGAATCAGACAGAATAGAATCCAGAGGACTGGAGAAAAGATCGAAACATTACAGGCAAAGATACTTGCCAAATTCTCTGCACTAAAACAAGAAAGCACAGATACAAGGATGATTTTAGTGATCTAATAAGCACATTTATCCGATGGCTTGTATTCTCTTGGAAGATAACTGGGGGAAGGTAAGAAGAGGGTAAAAGATATAGCAGTCTTGAGGACAGAGAGAAAATAAAATAACTGTCTCATAAAGTAAAAATGAAAAAAAAAAAAATCAGGCCACCAAAATTCAAAGACACAATCCAAAAATGGGCATCTAAGATGTATATATACTTCTCAGATGAAGAAATGTAAGTGGCAAATAAATATATGAAAAAACGTTCAGCATGATTGGTCATTTGAGAAATGCAAATTAAAATAACACTGTGATTCCATCTCACTTCAGAAAGAATGGCGAAGATCAAGAAATCAACTAATAACAAATGCTGGAGGGAACGTGGGGAGAAAGGAACTCTTTTGCACTGTTTGTAGGAATGTAGGCTGGTGCAACCACTATGGAAATCAGTGTGGAGTTCCTCAAAAAGCTAGAATTAAAGATTCCATTTGACCAGCTATCCTACTTCTGGGCATTTTCCCAGAAGAATTGACAACATCATACACCACCATGATATACATGTACCCATGTTTATAGCAGAACAATTTGTAATAGCCAAATCTTGGAAATAACCCAAATGCCCTTCACATGAGAAATGGATAAAAAACATGTGGTATTTTTATGCAATGGAGTACTACTCAGCTTAAAAGAGTGCACTGAGGCTTTTATAAGTAAATGGATATGACAAGATCGTACTCATAAGTCAAATAAATCAAACTCACAGGTGTAAATACCGTATTGTCTCCCTAGGGTATGAAACTGAAACAGCAAATATGATTCAAAATCTATTAATAAATGTATAAGGGTTAGAAACTGCTCAAAGGGGAAAAAAAGTAACTGGGATAGAAGAAAGGAAGAAAGAAGAAATGAAAAAGGAAAAAGACATACATTTATATATATACACGTTAGATAGCTAAGATGACTGTACTACTCATTCTATTAGTTTTTGAAAAAGCACAGTTAATATCATATGATTAGATCAATTTTGCTTGTCTATATCTAGTAATCTAAGCAACCCTTTGAAGGTAACAATATGCAATATTACATCCATCACTAAATTCCTGTCATCTTGTTTTGAAAACCTAAACTGTTATTGCTTTGGGTTTGTTGCTATTGTTTCTTGTCTCTTTTGCTTTTTGTTTTTCTTTTCTGTGTATTTTTTTCTTTTAAAAACAGAAATGTACTGGCATGGTGATGCAATCTTGTAATCTCAGTATGTGGGAGGCTGAGGCAGCAGGATCACTGATAGAGGCCAGCCTGGGATACATAGTGAGTTTATGGCCAGCCAGAACTACAGAGCGAGACCCTGTGTCAAAACACACTCAAAAAATAAAATAAAATATGCACCTTTTATCAATCTCACAACTAAATAAATACAAGTAATACAAGAAAATTATGATGTAAAAGTCACATTCTAATTGGTAACAATGACTTATAAGAACTTCCTTTACACACACAAGTTTGTCACCAGTCATTACTACAAATGTTTGTTAATTTTCCTTAAACAATAGTGAATTTTATCAACAAATTCATTATTTTCATACCTCTGAAGAGCTTTCATTATTGACATCCACTGTGTTTATAGGAGTTGCAGATGAATCTAAATCAGAACCTTGGGAGCCAACTCTTCCAGGAGTCTGAAACACAGAAGGTAGAAAAAAAAAATCAAACCAGATATTAACAATATATCCACAAGCATTAAGTAATATAACCTTCTCACACAGGAAAAGCAGATGTCTTCACAATAATAACAAACAGTACTAACTGTATCTTTTATGGAAGACTGTGTCTACTATTGAAAAAAATCAAGTTCTCTATAAGCAATCTCTTTCTTTTTAAAATTTACTTCTAAATACAATGTTTTGCAGTCTTCAACAGACTTTCACAAAAGGTATTATTAATTACAATGACATCTCTGAGAAAGACAAGGTATCTCTACAGAGAAGAACAAATTTAAAGCAGCTAAGTGACTGCACTGTCTTTTTGTTTTGTTTTGTCTTCGGTTTTGCTTTTTTTTTTTAATTGGAATAGAACTCTGAACCCCACATTGCCCAGCAGGCACTGGCTATATCACTAGTCAAGTGACTGTACTGTGAACAACAACAAAATAAAGAAGAACTAAAATTAAAATGCTGGTATTCTGATTCCTCTTGCATGTCTCTTTTTACTACATGAACTCAAACTACAATGATTTGAGTAGTGCTAAGAAACCATCGGCCCAAATTATCCAGTCACCATTCATCTACCACTTAGGCCAAACATTACCACCGTTAAACATTCCACACATACACACAGAGCAGAGCTTACTATCTAACATTATCATTCATTAATATCTAGGATATCTAGGCGGTTTTAAACAAATGAGAACACTGGATAAAAGGAAATGCAAAGCACAAGGCCTGACTCAATGCTCTTCATCAAAACTATATATGGTTCATGTTAGCACACCTCTCCCTTCAACAAAAGAGAACAAGGCACAGAAAGTTAACTTGCCCAAAGCATATGGCTGATGAGTGGAAAAGTGCTACATGGATCTTAGTCATTCCACACTGCTTCTTTGCTAGGTGTCATGGTTTATGTCGGTGGCCCCCAGGCCCTATGCATTTGTGATTGGTTCATTGTCTAGAGCTTGGATTGATGGTGTCAGTGCTAACCCATATAGGGGTGGAGGCAACATTACAATGTAATGGCAGCAAGAAGGTGTGTCTCTCTCTCTTGCCAGTTTCTGCCTTGCTGCTTGCAGCCACCATAAACCCACCATGCTACCCTGCCTTGGGGCCAACTAAATATAGACTAAAACCTCCAAAAACTGTAAAAAACAAACTTTTTCTTTCCCAGCTTTGGGCGTCAGGTATTTTGTCTCAGCGATGAGTAAAAAGTAACTAAGGCAAAATTTGGTACCAGGAGTGGGATCGTTTGCAGTGACTATACCTGACCATGTTTTTCGAAAGGCTTTAAAAATGTCTTGTGGACAGAGTCTAAAAAGGTTCAGACATGTCACCTAGATGCATTGAGCTGGGGGAACTTAGGCTGTTCTGTAGAGAAGATTCTAGTCAGAACTCAAGAGACCAAAAGGCTGATAAAAAGCCTCATGGTAAAAACCAGGCTGGGGAGGTTTCTGCTGAAAAAAAGACTACATTGGTTGTGAGACTCCCCACAATGTGTGTTACGGCTTGGCAGAAAGTTTGTCTGCATTTTGCTCATGCCCAGAGACTTTGCCTGAGACTGAGACTAAGGGCAATGGACTGATTAATCTGGCAAAAAGAAATGTCAAGGCAGTCAAATGTTGAGGGTGTGACATGGCTTTTGTTTAGCCAGCTTTATGTTGCAAATCGAGAGCAAAGAGCTCAGGAGGATAATTTACAACGCTGTGAGTTTGGCAAAAAAACATAAAATAAAATAAAAACCTCCAGTAAAGCTATAAATTATAAAGATAGAGCTGACACTTGGATTGCTTTAAAAAAAAAAAAAAAACAGATAAAAAAGATGCCCAGGGGGCATCCCCAAAAGCAGATCTCCATCCTTTACAGGCTAAAAACTGCAAAAGTAAAAAAAATTGCTCAAAAAAAAAGCTACAGAACACCATGCTCCAAAATGGCAATAAAGGCCACATGAGGTTCCAAAATGATGGTAGCCACATGAGGTTCCAAAATGGCAACAACATAAAAAAAACTTTTCTTCACAATTAGGTTCACAGACCCCAGAGATCTAGGTAATCAAACCCTACAGCCAAAAAAAAAAAAAAAAAAAAAAAAAAAAAAAAAAAAAAAAAAAAGCCTGGCTACTGCTCCAGCTGAAAACAAACCTTGGCAGCATCCACATTGGTGCTGATTTAGGTGCAAAAAAAGTACACAAATTCTGAGGATAAAATGGCTTTCACCTCAATTACCAAGGGCCTGGGAGGCCAAGCATTGTGCCCCTGAGAGGGCAATTTATAAAGATATAAAGACAAAGATATAATAGAGACCCCCAAAATTTAAAAAAGCCAAAAACATAGATCATCCAAAAAAAGCTACAAAAAGTGAGCAGAAAGGGTTTTTTAAAAAAGCTGTGAAAGCTAAAATCCCTAAAAAAGCCAAGGGGGGAAAAATCACCCAAGCCTTTTAGAGCTTACAACCAGACTGATTCAAATGCTGATTATAAAAACTCTAGACTTAATGTTCACCCTGCTAGATGTTAGACTTGCTTTGTTTCCAATGCTTTATATGCCCCTGTTTGTAACTTTTAAAATGATAATGTTTATCCTGTACCTTTACATTTCAAAAATGTTTAACCTTGTTAACATTTATGTTAACATAAATGTTAAACAGGGGGTTACAATTAAGAGTTAGAGATCTTAAAGGAGACTTGAAACTTAGACTTTTCAGCAATGTTTAAACTCTTAAGACTTTGACAACTCTTAAAGACAGACTAAATGTCTTTTATATAAAAGATGTACATGAGTCCTGGGAGCCAAAGGTAAAATGTCATGGTTTATGTCAGTGGCCCCCAGGCCTCATGCATTTGAATTGTGCACTTGTGATTCATTCATTGTCTAGTGCTTGGATTGATGGTGTCAGTGCTACACCCACTTAAGGACATACATACAATGTAATGGCAGGAAGAAGGTGTGTCTCTCTCTTTTGCCGGTTTCTGCCTTGCTGCTTGCAGCCACCATGAACTGCCACCCCACCATGGCACCCTGCCTAGCCAACTAAATATAGACTAAAACCTCCAAAACCTGTAAAAAATAAGCCTTTCCTTCCCCAGCTTTGGGCATCAGGTATTTTGTCTCCGGGATGCGTAAAAGTAACTAAGACACTAGGTATCTCCACTGAATGTTCCACAAACACCAGAGGCTGAGAACAACTCTGTACACATCTGTCTCAATAGGGCTATCCCCCACAGCACCATTAAATATTCAACCTAAACACCAAATAATGTGAACTGATACTATTTTGATTCATCAATTAAAATAGTATTAAAATTAAAATTGCATTAAATGGAAAAACATACACACTGGTTAAAATTACATGTTAGAACTATTTATATAAGAAAAAAGAATAAAAATAGGGGCTGGGGATATAGCTCAGTGGCATAAGCACCTGCCTGGCAAGCATGAGGTCATGAGTTCAATCGCTGGTACCAAAAAAAAAAAAAGAAGAAGAAAAATGAATATTCCAAAATGCAAATAATGATTTCTATGATAAGACAGGATTATGGAGGTTCAGGGGTTTTTGTTTTTTTGTTTTTTGTTTTTAAATTTTATTTTGAAAGTATACAGCAGAACAAAACAGAATAAAGCCAACTAAGATCATACAGTGAAATTGGTACAGAACTTCACAGCAGGTTATCAGGATAACAGTAATAGGTATCACAGTATATTTTGTTATCTTTATAATAGTTGTTCTTTCAATCATGTATATCAAATTGAGATAAAATATAGAACACTATAGCACTTATCAAAACAGAATACTGAATAGAGCAGTACCATTAATCAGAAGAGAGCAAAAAAGTAATAAAAATATTTGCCTTCAAAGAGATGGTAGAAGGAAGTCCCCCTTATTTGCTATGGTCAACTTCCCAGGAGATGCTCAGATTTCTGCTTCCCATTTGCTAATGGGCGGTGGGGTGGGGGGTAAGGGGGATAAGGGAAGTGGGATATTTGACTCTAGGCCGTGCATCAAAAGGTTCACTATTGCTTAGCAGGGAGGCAGGCTGGTTGTTTGGTTTCACAGGGTCCTAAGTTCCAACACGGTGTGGCTCTCAGGAGCTGCTGCTGGTTCTCCCCCTGGAAGGGCTGCAGTCTGCCACACTGCCACCGCTTACCAGGGAGGGGAGGTGCTTGTTTGGCTTCCCAGAGTCCTAAGTTCCAATATGGCACAGATCTCAGGAGCTGCTGCTGGTTCTCCCCCTAGAAGGGCCGCAGTCTCGGGTTTTTGTTTTTGCTCAACTTTTTTTCAGAACTTTTTTTTCAGAACTTTAATCATAGCAAATTTAATTTTACATTGAAAAAAGTATATTTTAAACATATTTCTCCAATTGGATAGCCCATATTTTTATTTCCTTACACAGATACTTTGCACAGTTTACATTTTATACTATTTATATTATTTTTATATGAATTAAAAAACTGAGATAAATAGAAAACAGTAGCAGTTAAGTAAGGCTACAAAAAAACTCCCAAACTTTTCTCATAAAAGGAATTTAATTCTGAACAAGCCCAATCTGAAAATCTGAAACACTTGTAGTGATACTCTATTGTAGTTCTATATGATCCTCACAAGAGCTCTGGCTTCTATGAGTCTCACTAAAGGTTGACAAGGAAGAAACATTTGCTGGTGTTTTCAACACAGGTCGCTAGAGAACAGCACAGGTACATTTGAGAGGGGACAGGTTTCTTACTAACAAGTGACAAGCAGGACACCAATCAAATACTAGTTGCAGATGGAGGAAGTTATAGCTATATCCTGGACAAGAACAGTGGCAGCCATAACACCCTGACACTTGTCCAAATCAAACAGAAAGTAGCATAATTTTGATTATGTACTTAAGATAAGAATGCAAAATAAATCTCTGACAAAAACGGAAACGAAAAGAGCTGGACATGAGTCTCCACTTTGTTGTCCATATCAGTAGACACGGCCAAAATGACAAC